CTTGAGGGCATTGAAAACATTCGGCGGATTAGGAATGGCTTTCATTTAATCTTTTAAATTAAAAAATGTAAAACATTATGGTGCAGAAACTGAAAGATAGCAGCTCTCCTACAGATATGGTCATTGTGGTCTAAATCAAATGCTCCCTCTCTGGGCCTAGCAACCTCCACCTTTCCTGGACGAAACACCTTCCTTGATTCTTTTCCACCTGGCGTACTTTGGTATGGAATCAACTTTGGTAGTCCCTGTGGACAGTGGTGCTTGGTGGGAGACTGGTGGGTCGGAAGGAAGAGAGCCCATAGGTGGAGCCAGAGGCAATGACAGGATTGTTGTTGTTTGTTGTTTAGTCGTGTCCAACTCTTCGTGACCCCATGGACCAGAGCACGCCAGGCACTCCTGTCATCCACTGTCTCCCGCAGTTTGGTCAAACTCATGCTGGTAGCTTTGAGAACACTGTCCAACCATCTTGTCCTCCATCGTCCCCTTCTCCTTGTGCCCTCAATCTTTCCCAACATCAGGGTCTTTTCCAGGAAGTCTTCTCTTCTCATGAGGTGGCCAAAGTATTGGAGCCTCAGCTTCAGGATCTGTCCTTCCAGTGAGCACTCAGGGCTGATTTCCTTAAGAATGGAGAGGTTTGATCTTCTTGCAGTCCATGGGACTCTCAAGAGTCTCCTCCAGCACCATAATTCAAAAGCATCAATTCTTTGGCGATCAGCTTTCTTTATGGTCCAGCTCTCACTTCCATACATCACTACTGGGAAAACCATAGCTTTAACTATACGGGTCTTTGTTGGCAAGGTGATGTCTCTGCTTTTTAAGATGCTGTCATGGATCACTGCCTTGCTGTGGAAAAGGGGCTTGAATAACTCAGAGAAACTATGAGCTATGCTGTGAGGGCCACCCAAGATGGATAGGTCATAGTGGAGAGTTTTGACCAAACGTGATCCACTTGGAGGAGCCGGCATGCCACTCCAGTATCCCTGCCAAGAAAACCCCATGGACAATGACAGGAGTAGCCAACTCATTCTAGTTTTTTCCCATCCTCCTTCCAGGGAACTGGCCCACTGGCGGACCAACGCTGCGTTACACAGTGCTAAAATATGCTGGTGTAGGGCAAGATATTTTGACAGGTGTTTATATTTCAAAGTCTTTTATAACAGGACCAGATCCAAGCTCAATGGCAGGGGCTTCTTGTTCATGTCCCGCTTCCCAAGTTACTTTGGGTGGCTGTCTCATGTGAGCATCAGAACTGCGTGAGCTGGGATTTCAAAGGTTTCTCTCGCACCATCTTCCCCATTGCAGAAGTTCACGCTGCTGTGATTCAGAAGTCCCTGGATCACACCCGCGCACCTGTTCCTAGATGGCAAGGCTGCCCCGCGCCCGTGCTTTCTAAACACCTGCGCAACATCCACGCCTCCCTTTCTAAGCACAATCCGCGGCCGCCACCGGTGGATCGGGCGCAAAACCCGCGCAGAGCGCTTACGTCCTTCTCTGCTTGCCAAAATCCCACGGTGCGCAATTCCACTCACCACCAAGTAAGCCCGCTCCGAGCAGGTGCCCTCCCCGCTCCTCTTCCCGGCCTTCCCCGCCACGTGCTGTTTGTTTGTTTGCGCGCTGGCCGGGCCGAGGCGGGCGGCGAGGAACTGCACGCTAGGCCGGGAGCGAGAAGGGAGCCTCCTTGTTCCTTCTCTCCCGGGGGCGGACTGTCGGGCCGACGGCCAAGGCGAGGCGCGGCGCTCCAACCCCCGCGCGCTCCCTTCTTTCCATCCGGGGCGGCCGCCGCGATCCCGTCGGAGAACCGCAGGCAGCAATCGATCGGGCCGAGCGGCACCGGCTCCGGGGCGTGGTTTGCGCGGCAGAGGGAGTCGGAAACCCCCCGGCGCGGCGGGGAAGGAGAAGGACTCCGGCGCCAAGGAAAGCCCCGCTCTTCCCTTCCCGCTCACCAGCGACCTCCCCAGCTGATCCGGAGCGGCTGCCCCCTGCAGACCCCGCGCGCAAAGAAAAGTGAGCCCTCTCCTTTTTTCTCTCCTCCCTCCGTGCGTAAAGGAGAGTCCGCGGTTGGGGAGGGTCCCCGGGCGTCGCTGAACCAGCAGCGGGGGAAAGGAGCGGGCCTTGCTCGGGGCAGCAGCGGAACTCTGCGCTGGGAGCGCGCGTTGTGCGTTGATGGTGGCACAATCTTTGCATGGGTGTATCGCCTGGAGTTTGGAGAATTTACCCAGCTCCTTGCGCGCGCGTCTTTGGCGAAGTTTTTGGAGCAAAGCGAAAGCAAAAGAGCGCTCGAGGGTGGGGGCTTGGCAGAGATCGAAGCGAAGAAGGGAGGGGGAGATTTGTTTTTATTTTTTAACAGAATTATCAGTGAAGGGCAGTTACTGATGCGGCCTTTAAGAATCATATACTTGGGAAGTTCCGGGCGGCAGAGTGGGGCAGCAGAGATTAGGAGCAGCGGCCCCAGAGCCGCCACCCCCCTTTTTTGCCCCCAGATTCCTGGGCTCGGGAGGGAAAGAGGCGAGCGCTGCTGCTGCTGCTGCTGCTCTCGGGCGCCTTTTCGAGAGCCTCTTCCTCCGCGCCTGGGCGGGAAAGGAGCTGGGGCGGCAACGGAGGCGGGAGCCATTTGTTCCCGTGGGATTTGAAAGAGAAAGGCGAAGGCTGGCGGGATGGAAAAGCCCCTCGTCTTTCTCCCTCTCCCCAGTCACACCCCACCCCCATCGGGCCTGAGTTTGGCGCAGGTGTTGGGGAGCGTGGCCCGCGCGGATCGGGACCGAAGCGCGCAACTTGAGCGGGGTTTCCTCCTTCCCGCGGCGAGGCGCCTCCCTCCCCTGCGCGCGGCCACCACTTGTAAGGCGAGCCCTCTCCCGCGCCTGCGATGGGATTGGCTGCCTGCTCTACCTGGCCCCTTTGTTGTCTGCCGCTGCCTTTGTTCTTCCCTAGGTGTCCGTCCCACCTTTCTCCCTTCCCCTCCTCCCTTGCCGAAAAGACGGGAGCGCGGGAGGAGGCTGCAGCCCCGGGGCGCCTCTGCTCGGGGGAATCCCTCGGAGCAAACCCGCCCAGGGATCTAGGACGGGGCGGGCTGGGGCTGCAAGGAGGCAGCTGCCCCAATAACAAAAGACGCGTGTGACATTTTGAGATTAGCGGTGTTTGCTTGTGTCATGGACGTTTGTAAGCAGGAGATGCAACGGGATGCAGCTTCTTCAGAATGGAAGGACCAGGAAAGAGAGCGTCTTTTAAATACAGCTGTCAGCTTCAGCATAGGAAGGCGTAAAGAGCCGATTCTGCTTTATTTGTGTGTGTTTGTGTGTGTGTGTGTGTGTGTGTAGGTGCTGGTGGGGTAAGAAAGGAGAGATTTGCGATCGGTGAAGTTAGCGAAACCTAATTCATTAAATCCATGCTTAACTTTTCAGAGCAAAACAACAACAACCCCAAACCCCACACCCAAGGGAGGTTAGAGAAATTTAAAACAAACAATAATTTATATGCAATTTGAAGCATGCAAAAAACAGCAATAAAATGTTGGGTGAAACATTTGAATGTTTTAAAAAGCAACCGAGGCTGTCCGTTCTTCTTGAAGTTAGAGGATCTCAGAAATGTGAGACAGCAAACAAAATAGTTTAGAGGTACAGTATGTAGATGTGGCACAACATGCCAGATGATTAGTGAATCAAAACTGTAGCTCTGAGGAGGCCATAGAATTGCTGCTTGAGTTATGGCGGAGGTCTAAATTGTTTCATCCTGAGTTTTGAGAAATGGATAATCACTCACGTGCTTTGAACCCATCCTTCATTCTGCAAAATGTTTTTGCATTCAGCTCTCCAGTTCTGCTGATGGGAAGACTGAGAGTGCGTTAAAGTGGGGGAATCCCACGTAAACAAGGGAGAGGAGACTATTATTCCAGCCTACCTGCACAGGTGTGCTCTTCTGAAGGTGTAGCTCCCAGCTGGAGCTTCTCCACTGCCCCAAACTCAGTAGGTGGACTTTGGCAAGCCACTCACTCTTAACCTTGCCTCTTCACCTGCAGTGCTGGAGCAATAATTCTGCCATACCACGCAGGGCTGTTGTAAGGGTTACTGAGATAAAACATGGGTCCCACTTTGAAGATCCCGAAGGTGGGGTGCAGGGCCTGTGGTTTGGGATCAGCTGCAAACCCCACCCACCATTGGTTGTGGCTCCCAGTGAGCTTTCATTGTGGGTCAATCACCCTTTGTAGGAATATAATGCCCTGCCCTGCTGTAAAGTGAAGGCTGGATACTGTTAAGGGGGTGGTTCTCAAAAGAGGACTGTGTGTTTCTTGGAGGAAGCCTTTTCTACTTATGCTTTAGTGTGTGAGCTGAGGGATTCACAAGCAGAGCCTGGCAGAGGCTGAGGGTGAAGTTGTTGGCATGCGTCTGTCCCCGGAGGCAGTGGAGGAGTGTGCCTTTGGGGATGAAGTCAAACAGCTGGAAGGTTGCAGCACCTGCTGTGGCAGTAGAGACCGATACGGGAGAGACATGTTTTGTTTCAGATGGGGCAGATGAAAGCATCCAGTTGCGCTGCTGCAGATGCACCACGGCATTTATTCTCTCAGCGCATCAATTATTTTCCTCCCTCCCTCCTTATGAATTTGATTATTTCGGTCACAGACCAGTTCCAGCATACATACAATATCAAGAAAGTCATAAAACACAATAGGGATACATTTGAATTTGCAATTAGGTATAACAGGGATAATACAGATATAGCAACAGTTAAAAAAAATATAAATTAAAACTTAATCACTAACATATAACCTAAAATTATCATTTAAGGCCTTAATCATTATGATAGTACAGCTTGTTCCCTAAGTTTTATGGCAATCGCACAGAATTTGGCTACCCTTAATGCAAGGAATAAGAGTCTTCCCCAAAAATAAAAGTAAGCAACCATTTCTAAAAACTTGGTGTCCTTTTAAATTGACCGTTGCTAAAAGTTTCATATTTTATTCTGACAAAATTGATAATTCAGTATGGTGAATAATGTGTATGTGTATATATATGTGTGTGTGTGTGTGTGTGTGTGTATATACACACACACACACACACACACGCATATGTATATGTATATGTATATGTGTATGCATGCTTTTGGAGATCTGGAGGGTGGCAACATGAGAACGGGCCTCCCTCCTCTGGTCACAGCACTGTAGTCATCCGCAAGGGATTCCCACATGATGTTGCCAGCCTTCATGTCATGTTTGCGGACATCTTTGTAATGCAGAGGGTGAAGACAGGTGTAACATTTAGAGCAGGGGTTGGCAAACTAAGGCCCGGGGGCCGGATCAGGCCCTATTGCCTTCAGGATCCGGCCTGGACCTAATGGTCAGGGGTCCCTTTACCTTTACCTTTACCTTTACAGTAAGAAAATGCAGATTCAGGTCTTGCCAGGACCACAACAACATTGGCCCAAGGCACCCAAAAAATGATACTGATAGGAAGATGACTTTGTAGGCTGCTTTGAGTTTCTTGGAGGAGAGGCTGGAAGCATGACGTGGACATAAAACTAACTGGGTGAGCCTCTAGTAACACCATCAAGAAAACCCTTCAGTTGGAGCAGTTTTCCACTTCTTAATAAAATTAACGAGGTGTGATTTGTGTGTGTGAAATTCACGAATGTCGTGTGTTTCAAAATTTAAAAAAGCAGAGTTGGCCAGAAACATAGGCAGATGGACAAGACTGGCAGCTCTTCGAGTATTGGTGTCCATGCCTGTTGTTTCATTCTTGGAGCTGAGGCTAAGCTGGTCTTGCTACAGCTTCTCACCTGAGCTGACTATGAGTGGCTACAGGATATGGAGACATCTCGGCAGAGAACCAAAGGCTATGCCAGAAACAGTTACAAAGTGCCTTAGGGGAGGGCAGAGAAATGTCAGAGGAGGCGCTGGCAGCTAAACCCATTTCCCAACACTTCACTGTCCTCCTCCAGCCTTCCTTCCAGCTGCTTTCCCCTGCCAGATGCTAAACACTCTGAACAGGGTGGGGCATAGCTCAGTGGCAGAGCAGGTGCTCTGTATGCAGAAGTTCACCAGTTCAATCCCTTGCATTTCCAGGTAGAGCACAGAACTTCAGTGATAAAAACATTTGAAAAATATACTGACAGCCTAATAATAAAATAGTCATCATAATAACAGTATAAAGGTAAAGAGTCCAGTCGTGACCGACTCTGGGGTTGCGGCGCTCATCTCGCTTTAATGGCCGAGGGAGCCGGCGTACAGCTTCCGGGTCATGACTAAGCCACTTCTGGCGAGCCAGAGCAGTGCACGGAAACACCGTTTACCTTCCCGCTGGAGTGGTATCTATTTATTTACTTGCACTTTGACGCGCTTTCGAACTCTAGGTTGGCAGGAGCAGGGACCGAGCAACAGGAGCTCACCCCGTCGTGGGGATTCGAACCGGCGACCTTCTGATCGGCAAGTCCTAGGCTCTATGGTTTAACCCACAGCGCCACCCGCATCCTTTATAATAACAGTATATTCCCCCAGATTTTCACAGAATCAGAGAACTGTAGAGTTGGAAGGGACAACAAGGGTCATGTATGGTAGTTCAGTTTCTGCCATTCAGGAATCCTTTGCCCATTGTGGGTGTCGAACCAACGACTCTGAGATTAAGAATTTTGTGCTACCCGTCTTTTGCACACAGTCTCTCCGGCTGTGAAGCTGTTTGGCAGAGACTCTTGATTTGCAGGGCGAGAAATGCCTTTCTCTAGAACGCTGAAATTGCCTCCCGGCTGCTGCTGCTCTTCTCGAGGGATTGGCAAATGCAAGCTATCACATACCTCCACAATTAATAACTATTAATCATAATAGAATTGTTAACACATCCAGCTGTTCTGCTTGTGCAGCAGATGTCTGTTTGTGCAATGGAACTTTCCCTTTCCTCTCCCATTCAGTACCCCCCATCCAGTCTTAAAATCTGCTCCTGAGTGTTGGAAGACCCTCTAAAGCAGATTTTGAAGGGCGGGGGGTAGAAGAAGAGGAAGTCCTGTTGCGTGAGTGGAATTTTGCACACACGACAACGGAGGTGATTCAATATTTCTTAAGCTTTTCAGGTTGCATTACATAATGAGTGTGCAGCAACTGAAGTAGCTGGCTGCATTACTAGGCAATGACCTCACGATCTTAAAATACAATAAAATATGTCACTGTCCGTTGGCTTGCGCCCTGTGCTTTTCAAAGCAGAAGCGAGCCATGGTTGCTCATGTTTCTCCCATGTTGTTTCCACACATGCCATGCCCGCTCAGTTCAGACTTCGTGTTCCTCTTAAACTTGCCTGCGTCGCTATGTTGTGACGTCTTGAACTGCACGAGCCCGTGATCATGTAAGATGGAAGTCTGCTAGAAACGTGTAGGCAGGGATCTCCAAAAGCCCTGCCTTAATGAGGAATTCCTTTAGCGGCTTAGGATGTGGAGGACAGCTTGTCCAGACTTGAGATGAAATGAAGTGGTGAAATTTGAAAGCAGGCATGAAAATATAGGCCTCTCTGAACAGCATTAATTGTATTGCATGAACTTCTTCTGAGACCATTCCTCGAGACTTACCGTATTTTTCGCTCTATAAGACACACCAGATCACAAGACGCGCCTAGTTTCGGAGGAGGAAAACAAGGGGAAAAAAACTTCTGAATCTCAGAAGCCAGAACAGCAAGAGGGATCGCTGCGTAGTGAAAGCAGCAATCCCTCTTGCTGTTCTGGCTTCTGGGATAGCTGCGCAGCCTTCATTCGCTCCATAAGATGCACACACATTTCCCTTACTTTTTAGGAGGGAAATGTGAGTCCTATAGAGCAAAAAATATGGTATTTCCCCACTCCTCCAAGTTTGTGTTATGGATGTACAGAAACTTAGCAAGTGAAGTTTTCCCATAAAATGATGGGGAAGATTTTGTCCGCTAACCTTCATCATATTCTTCCGCAGGGAAAGGCCTAATCAGAGTTGCTGACTCTTCCACTGAGCTCTGCATCTGTACCATTAACATGACATTAGCAGAAGATTTTGGGAAGGGTCAAAGCTCAGTGGAAGAGCATCTTCTTTACATAAGGTCTTGCATTCAGTCCCCACCATCTCCAAATAGGACTGGGAGAGAGCCATGTCTGAAATCCTGGAGAATAGTAGAAGGCTTCTTCTTCTGTTCATTTCCATGTCCTTCTCCTTTGCAAGTGTGTTTGTGTGCAGGGAGAGATTGATTTTGGTTTTGAATAAACCATAGTTTAAGGAACCATAGTTTAAGAAAGCTGCTCATTTTTAGCAGACTTTTTACAAATAAAGGACAATAACACAACCAAGCAAAGTTTATCAATGTCCTCATTTTTCATGACGCTAGAACAGGGAAATTGCAGTTTGAGCAATCCCTCCAAACCACAGTTTGATCATTCTTTGAAATCCTGTTTTGGAACGATCGTCTCAACCACAGTTTCCCAGTTTGGATGTCAGAGTGAACTGGTTTGATGAAACCAGGAAGTGTTCTGTTAAACTGAATCCATGATGGAAAAGGAGGGCGTACATGACTTGTTTTCGATTCAAACCATAGTGGAACTTCTTTCCCAAAACTTGTTGTTGTTTAGTCATTTAGTCGTGTCCGACTCTTCGTGACCCCCTGGACCAGAGCACGCCAGGCACTCCTGTCTTCCACTGCCTCCCGCAGTTTAGTCAAACTCATGCTGGTACCTTCGAGAAACTGTCCAACCATCTCGTCCTCTGTTGTCCCCTTCTCCTTGTGCCTCCATCTTTCCCAACATCAGGGTCTTTTCCAGGGAGTCTTCTCGTCTCATGAGGTGGCCAAAGTATTGGAGTCTCAGCTTCAGGATCTGTCCTTCCAGTGAGCACTCAGGGCTGATTTCCTTCAGAATGGATAGGTTTGATCTTCTTGCAGTCCATGGGACTCCTAAAAGTCTCCTCCAGCACCATAATTCAAAAGCATGAATTCTTCAGCGATCAGCCTTCTTTATGGTCCAGCTCTCACTTCCATACATCACTACTGGGAAAACCATAGCTTTAACTGTACGGACCTTTGTTGGCAAGGTGATGTCTCTACTTTTTAAGACGCTGTCTAGGTTTGCCATCACCTTTCTCCCAAGGAGCAGGCGTCTTTTAATTTCGTGGCTGCTGTCACCATCTGCACTGATCATGGAGCCCAAGAAAGTAAAATCTCTCACTGCCTCCATTTCTTCCCCTTCTATTTGCCAGGAGGTGATGGGACCAGTGGCCATGATCTTCGTTCTTTTGATGTTGAGCTTCAAACCATATTTTGCGCTCTCCTCTTTCACCCTCATTAAAGTATTCTTTAATTCCTCCTCACTTTCTGCCATCAATGTTGTGTCATCTGCATATCTGAGGTTGTTGATATTTCTTCCGGCAATCTTAATTCTGGCTTGGGATTCATCCAGCCCAGCCTTTTGCATGATGAATTCTGCATATAAGTTAAATAAGCAGGGAGACAATATACAGCCTTGCCGTACTCCTTTCCCAATTTTGAACCAAAACTTAAACTGCAACAAAAACTGCTTCTCCCTCTCACTTGCTGAAGGATGTCACCTTTCAAAGGCAGGGGAGAGAAAGTTCCAGCCATCAAGGAACACTCAGGGTCTGTTGTTGAAGTCCCTGACCAGCCAGTCATTCCCCGTCCTCAATAAGCCAGACAGCTAAACTCATTAATGTGTTTTGTCCCTCGTCCTTTTCCAGGCAAAGAAAGAAACCAACAAACACTGCTAAAACCTCTCCTTCCATCCTAAATATAATTGGCTCTGAGCATTTTAAAGGGATACTGTTGAGGCAGCTAGGCCCAATGGATGCTGCACAACTGGTGACCCACCTGAGTCCACGAAGGGTCCAATAAACCCCCTTTCTGAGAGCTGCTTTAGATTGCAAAAGAGAGGGGCTTGCTAAGCACCTTTCAGGCCACAAAACGTGGCTGATGTGCTTTGGGAAGGAAAATATGTTTGTTTTCTCTCCCAAATGTTTTGGTGAGCAGAAACCATTCTGTTTGGGATTGGTAAGCTGAAAGCATCAAATCCCCTTAAAAATGGCAATGGGCACTTCTGTTCAAAATAGGCTGGATTTCCTTGTTTAT